GGAGTACTGGAAGTTCAGCCGCACGCCCCTGTACGCCGCCGCTCTCGGGCGGCCGCTGTCCAAGGCTCGGCCGCAACTCCCTGGGAGGTTGAGTCGCGTGGCCACCGTCCCCCGGTGCGCCCGTCTTGAAGTGCCAATGCAGCCTTCTCCTCCTCCTCCTCCTCCTCCTCCTCCTCCTCCTCCTCCTCTTCCTCCTCCTCCTCCTCCTGCTTCTCCTCCTCCTTGCCCCCGATTGTGCCGCGTGCAAGGCGTCCGTGTCGGCACGCCGCGAGGTGGCTCGACGTGTTGGCCCACGTCTGGGCGAGCGTGTCGCACCGGACCTGCGTTTTTGTAGCCTGCGTAAAGTGAGCTCCGCGTCAGCTCGCGACGGGCTGCGTGCTGCGCAGCGGGGCGCAGCTACGTCCCCGTCTGTTCCTTGGCGCTCAGCCTCCGCAGTCTGGCGCTCCATCCCGCTCTGCCCCTCCACGGCTCGGTCCGGCCTGGTCTGGCCTGTCCCTGGCCTGATCCAGCTCCTGGCCCCCTGGTACCGCTCCGTGGCCCCCAATCCTACGAAGACCTCGCAGGAGTTGCCATGCCGCCCACGGTCGGGAACTTTGGCTTAGCGTGTCGTCCCACTGGTTCTGGCCCATCACGCTTCGACGCGACACGCTATCCACGTCCCAGTTCCCGTGCGTCGGCGTCCTGACCATGCCCCAGCCTCCCGCCCCGCGGAGCGGAGCGACACGCCATCTGCTTGCAGGTCATAGCATGTCGCCGGGGCCGCCGCAGCGACAGGCTAGGCAAGAGTTCCCGACCGTAACACGTCGGCATCAACCAAACGTGTGCGTCGCCCCCCTGGGGGGCCACGCGCGCGCCAAGAAATCTGATAGTAGACGCTCCGTGGCGGGCTCGTTCTGGCCATATCGCTCGGGAAACGATGCACCACAAGATGTTTGTGCCAGATGGTCGGGTCGGACGCACGCATCCGAGGAGGGCACATCGTGCCAGTATGTCCTTGTGCGTCCCAGCAAATTACCAGTTTGAAACATATCCCTATCCCTGTGTTTGGCGTCACCTCACATCGATGCCGATCTTAAGGATTCCCTCAGTTTCTGAGGGCACATCCCCAAGATTCTCCTCGCTTTTTGCTCGCCCACCTTAGGGATAAGGATAAGTTCGAGGCTGGTTAGCAAAGGCGTCGCTCACAGACCAGATCACGAGGGCCGTCTTCGACGCCACGGCCATGCACGAGTTCGTCGGCGGCGTCGTCGGTTACACCACGGACCCCGCTGGCGCGGTCCTGCAGGTGCGCCCCGGGCTGGACATGGCCGGCCTGCAGCAGTTTGTCCAGGTCAGTTGCGGGATGATGATGATGATGATGATGATGATGATGATGATGATGATGATGAGGAGGAGGAGGAGGAGGAGGAGGAGGAGGAGGAGGAGGAGGAGGAGGGGTTCCCTTTGGGGGCCTCCGCCAAAGCAGCGGAAAGCGGAAGAGGAGGAGGAAGAGGAGAAGGGGGGCCCTCAGATCTGGGCGTGGCAATTTTTCTTCACCGGGCGTTTTCGCCGGGATTCGGGCCCCGGGACCCTCACAGCTCGACCTGGCTCGAAATTTGACTCAGGAAGATGGGGTCTAGGGGTCTGGGGCCCCGGTCGTGCTCTTGCGCGATGTTGCAACGTGTTCGCAACGGCGGATCTCCGGGGAGGCGCATGAGGAGGAGGAGGAGGAGGAGGAGGAGGAGGAGGAGGAGGAGGACTTCGACTGCAGATGAGAGAGGATGGGGATGATGAGGAGGAGGAGGAGGAGGAGGGAGGGAGGAGGAAGGAGGAGGAGGAGGAGGAGGAGGAGGAGAGGAGGAGGAGAGGAGAGAGGGAGGAGGAGGAGGGAGGAGGAGGAGGAGGGGAGGAGGAGGAGCAGTGGAGGAGGAGGAGGAGGAAGGAGGAGGAGGAGAGGAGGAGGAGAGGAGGAGGAAGAGAGGAGCGGGGAGAGGAGGAGGAGGAGGAGGGGGGAGAAGGAGGAGGAGGGGGAGGAGGATGAGGAGGAGGGGAGAGGAGGAGGAGGGGGAGGAGGAGAGGAGGAGGAGGAGTAGGAGGCTAGGGAGGAGAGGAGGAGGAGGAGGAGGAGGGGGGGGAGGACAGAGGAGCAGCGATCAGGAGGATCGGCCTCGTGTTGATGGTCCTGGTTTGCCCTGCCACCTCTTGGTTTCGCACGGCGGGCCGAGGCCGAGGCAGGTCAAGGTCATTGGTCGCGCTCCCTCATTTTTCTTCCTCTTTCCTCAAAGAAAAAGAGGAGAGGTGGAGGAGGTGGGGGAGGAGGAGGGGGAGGAGGGGAGGAGGGGAGGAGGAGGAGGAGGAGGAGGAGGAGGAGGCGGAGGAGGAGGAGGAGGAGGAGGAGGGCCTGGGACTTGTGTTGGGCCTCCAGGGGCCTTCCAGGGTCCCTTGCCGCCCACAAGCCTCGACGGAGAGGGACGGAGGCGGATTCTCCCTGGATCCCAGATCGAAGACATGTTTTGCTCATGTCCCAGGCCGGCGATCGCGCGTGTCGGTCGAAGAAGCAGGGCTGCTGCTGACCTGTACAGATGGAAAACACGCGGCGTCGGAGGTCTGGGGGGGGTCCGCGCCTCTACCCATACAGTGCCTTGTTTAGTACATGCTCCGCGTGCGGATCATGTATTAAACATGCATGGATTTAGCATTAAAAACAACGATGGGTTCATGCATACATTTATACATACATTAATCATGGATTCAAAATCGTATAGTTAAAAACCATCATATGTGTTAAAAACTGCCCTGTAACCCCCGCCCTCGGGCAGGCCGCGGGGAGACTCGCAGGCGTTCGCAGGCGACCGAGGCAGGAGTGCCGTTTGCTTGGCCGGCCCAGCCAGTCTGCCGGAGGCGGGGGCCCACCAGGCCCGACGTCGAAGAACGAACAGTTGCGCAAACATCAGACATTATGTTTAGGGGGAGGAGGAGGGGGAGGAGGGGGAGGAGGAGGAGGAGAAGGAGGAGGAGGAGGAGGAGGAGGAGGAGGAGGAGCCATTTGGGGTGTTCGTGTGCACGCAGCCGGACGGCGGGGGCGGGACACCAGCCCCAGGAGAGGCAAGGGGTGGAGGGAGGAGGGCGACGAGGTCAATTCGCTGGTGGCGGGCACGGGCATGCCCATGCCCATGCTGATGCCCAGCGGCCAGCCTGGGGACGAGGACTGGCTGCCACAGCTGCGGCTGGGACAGGCTCACGGCCCTTTGTTCCTCTCATCCTCATCCCCATCATCCTCATCCTCATCATCCTCATCCTCATCATCCTCTTCCACCTCCTCCTCTTCCTCCTCCTCCATCTCATCCTCACGCTCCTCGTGCGAGGCATCCGATGTGCACGTCGAGAGGCTGCACGCAGAGCTCATGCGAGACCTGGGCGCGGTGTCGACCGCCATTGGCCAGCGCAACAGCCCTGCCGGTGCGCGCATGCACCCGTTCGAGAAGATGGACCCCGGAACGCACGAGCGCTCCCTGAGCCTATGATATGCAGAGGGAGGCTGCACACCACCATCCCTTCGCTACACAGTGCCATCCTGGGCCCCGAGGTGCTGTGCTCGGGTTAAGTCGGGCTTGTCCCTCTACAGGAGGGGTAGTCAAACATAGTTAAGAAGTAGTATGGGGACGAATTCATTTATCATTTTTGAATATGCTTGATCCTTTTCTGGGTGTTTTTTTCGTCCAAGGTCCGCCTGCAGGGGGACACGCCCGATCTGATGCTCGGGGAACAAGCATTGGCATAAGCAGACGCTGTCGGAGGTCCGCGCGGCCTTCTCGCCTCGGCGCTCGGGGAGGGTCCGGCGCCGATCCGAGAGCTCCGCGCGGGCCTCCGATGGCACCGTCCGCTCCCCTCTGCACAGTGAGGGCCCCTCCTTCGGAGGCTGCTGGAGGTGTCCCTGACCCGAGGTGCCCCGTAAGAACGGTTTTTTGAAGGCAGATCTGCCTTCAAAGTAAGAACGGTTTTTTGAAGGCAGATCTGCCTTCAAAAAACCGTTCTTTGAAGGCAGATCTGCCTGCAAAAAACCGTTCTTACAGAGTAGACCAGTCTTTCCTCCTTGCAGGTAGAGTGCTTCTCGCTCCGTCTCGAAGCCGCCGGGGGCCCTCTGGGGGCCTCGTGTGGAGTGCTCTTGGAGGCCGTCGGGGGGCCTCCCTGGAAGTCCTGGGGACGCACCTCGGCCCAGGGGCACTCCTGGCAACCTCCTCCTCCCCCTCCTCCTCCGCCTCCTCCTCCTCCTCCTCCTCATCCTCCTCCTCCTCCTCCTCCTCCTCCTCCTCCCCTTCCCCTCCCCCTCCCCCCTCCCCCTCCTCCTCCTCCTCCTCCTTCTCCCCTCCCCCTCCTCCTCCTCCTCCTCCTCCTCCTCCTCCTCCTCCTCCTCCTCCTCCTCCTCCTCCTGCTGGACGGCCAGGGTGCTGCGCAGACCCGCCTAAGTATGGTCGAGGCCGGGAGGCCCGGCCGGCGCGCCGCGTCTTGGGGCCCGGCCGGCGGCTCTGGCCCGGGGAGTGCGGCTGCGCGTGTGCGGCTGCCGCGTCCGGACGCGAGCCGCTGGGCCTCCGCCGGCCCGAGCCAGCGCTGCGCGGGGCCGGAGGAGGAGAGAGTAAAGGAGGTAAAGGAGGAGGAGGAGGAGGAGGAGGAGGAGGAGGGCGGAGGAAGAGGCGGAGAAGGAGGATGCGGATGCGCAGGGGGAGGAAGAAGAGGAGACGGATGATGATGATGATGATGATGATGATGATGATGATGATGATGATGATGATGATGATGATGATGATGATGATGATGATGATGATGATGATGATGATGATGATGATGATGATGATGATGATGATGATGATGATGATGATGCTGACTGGCTGAGCTGTGATGTCGGATTCTGATGCTGATGCTGATGATGGATGATGATATGATGATGATGATGCTGATGGATGATGCTGATGCTGATGCCTGATGCTGATGCTGATGATGATGATGACGACGATGATGTATGATGATGAGGAGCAGCAGAGGAGAGGAGAGGAGAGTAGGGGGAGGAGGGAGGGTAGAGGAGGTCAGAGAGGAGGAGGCGAGGAGGAGAGGAAACAGGAGGAGGAGGAGGGGGAGGGGGATGGCTGGGGAGAGGACGGTGAGGGGGCGGGCGGTCAAGGGGGAGGGGGTCGAAGGACAGAGGTATGGAAGCAGCCCATCCGACGAACGGTCGGCAACTTTGGGGATAGTGTGTGGCTCCGCCAGTTCTGGCCCCCCACGTTTCGGCGCGACACGCTGTCCACGCCACTGTCCCGAGGCGTCCACGTGCCGAGCCTGTTCGAGCCTGCCGCCCCACGGACTGGAGCGACACGCCATCCGTTCGCAGGGCGCATAGCGTGTCGCCGGGGCCGCCGCGACACGCTGTGCAACAGTTCTCGGCCGTAGTAATGTGGGGAACTGGGGGGGGAGCGCTCGAAAGCGGGATCGGTTGTGGATCCTTCCCCTTCAAAAGGAGGTGCAGGAGAAGGAGGGGGAGGAGGAGGAGGAGGAGGGAGGAGGAGGAGGAGGAGGAGGAGGAGGAGGAGGGAGGAGGAGGAGGAGGAGGAGGAGGAGGAGGAGGAGGAGGAGGAGGAGGAGGGAGGAGGAGGAGGGAGGAGGAGGAGGAGGAGGGAGGAGGAGGGAGGAGGAGGAGCGCGTTCAGTGCTCAGCATGTGGCACATGTTTAGACTGTTGAGCGTCGACTTCTCAGCAGCGGCACTTGGCATCACAGATTCAGGGTGCACGTGCTGTCGCTTGTTGGCTCCATTACAGCGGGCCCAGAAAATCGTTAGCACTGTTCGCAGTGTCTCTTGCACGTGCCTCAAGCTCGTCCCCTCATCGTCGTCCTCTTACCGCTTCGGTTCATATGGCTCACGCCCGCGGTTCCGCCAGCGAGAGTTGGCGGAGAGTGGCGGAGGGAAACGTGAGACGCCAACATTTGTGGATCCAGGGGTTCCAGAGCTTGCCGAATGGTGTGTAGTTGTTTTTCTCAGTCTCGGGTCCTGAAACGGACCACCAAAGGCCCAGGGCAATCAGGCAGTTGCCGCCTCGATGTGTGTTCGCTCCAAGGCCCGTGCGTCGGATCTGTCTCCGCTCTGTCTGCGCATGTTGCGTCGACTTGTTGCAGCGCGCTTTCATGATGGAGGATGGCGATGTCGGGCGTTGGCCCTGGCTGAGGTCCCTGAACCTCTCGGAGAACAGCTTCGACCAGGTCGGCGCGGAAGAGGTGGTGTCGATGCTGCAGCGCGGGCTGCCCGCGCTGAAGGAGTTGGACCTGTCGCGCAACCACCTGCACGACGAGGCCTGCCCCTGAAGACGGGGAGGAAGGGGGTGGTCCAGACCTCCCTCGCGAGGAAGACAGAGAGGACCTGTGTTTCACCAGTTTGGGCCGCAATGGCGATGACGGTGACCCAGCTATGCGTGAGATTGACCGTCGGCTGGAGTTGCCTTTTGGTGCGGGCCCTCAGGGGTCCCCTCAGCATTGGCTGGCGCGATCGGAGTTGCCCCCCCCCCTCCCCCCTCGGCAGCCCCAAAAGGCCGCGCGCACCAAAGGTCACACTTGCCTGGGGTCACACTCCTTGTGTAGCCGGACAACGCCATCAGTATCGAGGTCCGCTGCGGGCCACCGGACCCCTACAAGAACGACGGGTGCTATGTGTGTGCCCTCCGTTATCTCTCTCCTGTGCTATGCGTGTGCCCTCTCTTATCTCTCTCCTTACCTCTACCGCAGCCCTTTCGGCTCTTCAGGTGTTGGCGCCCCCTCATGGGGAGAGGAGAACACCCCAATCGTCGTCATCCTACAGATTGTTGGCCGGGCGGGCTCTCTGATCCTCGACCACGCGCAGAGGGAGTGGGGGGAGGGGGGAAGGCTTCGTGGAAGGAGGCCGCTTCTTAGAATGCGCGGGCACTGGCTGTCGATGTAAGGCCCGCGCCCTCTGAGATGCAGCCTCCGTCTAAGAAGCCTTCCTTCCTCCCCCTACCCAGGAGCGAAACAAGGACGTACATGTACATGAATCCACGCTGGTTTCGAGAGCACGCATTGCACAAATGTTCGTATAGCGCGGCGGGTCTCGCGAATCGAGGGGCCGTGTTCATGTACATAGCTGGGCGCGTACGTCCTTTGTGGGCTCCCTACCTACCCTGCCCCCCCCGGCGCGCGCCGCCAGCCCTCCCTGCCATTCACACACATATCCGCCTCCCCCTCCAGGGGCGACGGCGCGCGCTCCCGCGGCGCCCCGGCCCGCAGGGTGCGGGCTGCGCTTCGGCCCCGCAGGGAGCAGGCCCCTCTGCACGGCACCTCGCAACGACAGCGACAACACAGCGACAACACAACGCTCAGAACGAGAACAACGGCAGCAACGAGAAAACAACGAGAACAGCACCCTCCCCCCCCCTGCACGGGGCGGCGCCCGCCGCTGCCGGGGGCACCCTGGGCCGCGAGGGGCCCCGGCCGCGAGGAGTGCGGCGGGCGCCCCGTCGGCAGCGCGCGGGGGGGCGGCGCGCGAGGGCGCCGCCACCCCGCGCGCGGGTGCGGTTGGCGCCGGGCGGAGGAGGAGGAGGAGGAGGAGAAGGAGGAGGCTAGGAGAGGAGGAGGAGAGGAGGAGGAGAGGAGGAGGAGGAAAGGAGGAGGAGAAGGAAGAGGATGAGGAGGAGGAGGAGGCCCAGGAGGGCCCGTCGCCCCGGCCCAGAGCCACAGCCGCGGCCCCGGGCCACATGGGGCGGGCGCCACGCGCTCAACCCACGTGCCCGAACCTTGTTTGGGGGCCGAAGGCAGGTCCTCTCCTCCGCTTCCTCCACCCTCCTCCTCCTCCTCCTCCTCCTCCTCCTCCTCCTCATCGTACCGCGAAAGGGGGGGATAGGGAAAGGGGGGGTACGAAATTTGCTGCATGCAGCTGGTTTCGGCCCCGCCGAGGGGCCCATTCTTCGATGCATGCGCGCCTCCGGCGCCGGGAGGCGCTGGGAGAATCAGCTACGTGAGCTGATTCTCAAACCCCTCCTTTGCTATCCTCCCCTTTCGCGACCCGATCCTCCTCCTCCTCCTCCTACTCTACTACCTCCTCCTTAGCTCCTCTGCCCCTTACTCTCCTCCTTCCTCCTCCCTCCTCCTCCTCCTCCTTTCCTCTCCTGCCCCTCCTCCTCCTCCTGCCCGCCTCCTCCGTCCTCGGGCCTGCCCCTTTCTCTCCTATTCTCCTGCCCCCTTCTTCTTCTCCTCCTCGCTCCTCCTCCTCCTCCATCTCCTCCTATCCTCCCTACTCCCCTCTCCCCTCCTCCTCCCTCCTCCTCCTCCTCCCCTCCGTCCTCCTCCTCCTCCTTTGTTCCACCCCCCGGTGCATTCGCTTCACCGGCAGAAGGGCCCCTGCACTCCGGGCACTCGGGCGCCCCCGCCGCGTGCAGAAGACAGCGCCAGCTTTTCCCACTAGGCCGAAGCGGATAGGGCCCCGCCCACCGGAGTGCTGTCGGCAGGGACGGCCTCGGGAGCGCGGCCTTGTCGAGGCGGTTCGCCCGAATCCGAGGGGGCGGCCAAGGAGCGCGGCCCGCCTCGACAAGGCCGCGCTCCCCGCCGCCCTGCCGAGCACTCTCGGTGGGCGGGGCCCTTCCGCTCGGGCCTAGGGAAAAGCTGGCGCTCTCCCTGCACGCGGGGCGCTCCCTGCCCCGGGTGATGGGCCCTTCTGCCGGGGGCGCATCGCACCAGGGTGAACAAGGATGATGATGATGATGATGATGATGATGATGATGATGATGATGATGATGATGATGATGATGATGATGATGATGATGATGATGCTGATGCTGATGCTGATGCTGATGCTGATGATGATGATGATGATGATGATGATGATGATGCTGATGATGATGATGATGATGATGATGTTGATGTGATGATGTGATGATGCTGATGTGATGGTGATGCTGATGCTGTGCTGATGCTGATGCTGATGCTGATGATGATGATGATGATGCTGCATGACATGATGATGATGATGTGATGCTGATGCTGATGATGATGATGCGGAAGATGATGCTGATGATGATGATGCTGATTCCTGATGCTGATGCTGATGCTGATGCTGATGCTGATGATGATGAGATGACATGACGATGATGAGGATATGATGATGCTGATGCTGATGCCTGATGCTGATGCTGATGATGATGAGAGATGATGGATGACTGCCTGATGTGATGGCTGATGATAATGCTGATGGATGATGATGATGACGATGATGATGATGATGATGATGATGATGATGATGATGATGATGATGACGACGACGACGACGATGATGATGATGATGATGATGATGATGATGATGCTGATGATGGTGATGATGATGATGATGAGGATGAGGAGGAGGAGGAGGAGGAGGAGGAGGAGGAGGAGGAGAAGGGGCAGGAGGAGGAGGAGGCGGAGGAGGAGGAGAAGGGGCATGAGAAGGAGAAGGGGCAGGAGGAGGAGAGGGGGCAGGAGGAGGCGGAGGAAGAGGAGGAGAAAGAGGAGGAGGAGGAGAAGGATGAGGAGGAGGAGAAGGGGCAGGAGGAGGAGGAGGAGGAGGAGGAGGAGGGAAACGGGAGGCGGGAGGGAGGAGGGAGCAGGAAGGAAGGAGGAAGGAGGAAGGAGGAGGGAGGAGGAAGAAGGGAGGAGGGAGGAGGTGGAGGCAGAGTGGGCAACGGCAGACGAAGAGAGTGCGGGCAGCCGAATAATTTTTGCACCAAGCAGCGGGTGGGTGGAGAAGGGGGATGAGGCGGCGTCGGAAAAGGTGATGGCGCTGCCACGCACCCCGATTAGAAGAGCCAGGAGGATGAGTTGAGCGGCGACGACGACGACGAGGAGACGATCCGTTCCGAGTGACTGCCGAAACCCGGCAGCGGGCTGGACGGCGATGGACCTGAGGGTTCTTTTAAGCTGATTCGGCGTCCGAGCCCGCTCGTCGTCGTCAGCCACCGAACGAACCTCGGATCGGAGCCTTGGCAGCCGAGATCGAAGACGGAACAATTGCATAATCAACATAAGCCTTCGGAGCTCCGCGCGGATGTTGTGAATCGGCGCTGGGCCCGCCTGGCGTGCTCCGCGCGCCGGGGAGGGTGGTCCAGCGCCGATCCAAGAAATCCGCGCTGAGCTCCGAAAGTTTCTGTGTGTGCCGCTTCCTGCCCCTCCACGAAGAGGTCCCAACGCTCCTCCGGGCCAGACCTCCGACGCCACGACCTCCTTCTGGCATGGGCTCCAGTGGCATCCTCGCCCCCTGCCCAGGACCGGCCTCTACAGGCAACCCGCACAGGAAGGATGAGCCGCTCTCCGAGGCTAACCCTTGCAGCCTTTCCCTTCGGCCCCTCCTTGGCGGCTTGCGCTGGCCGCGCGGCGAACGATGAGGAGGAGGCGGGGAAGGAGGAGACAGCAACGGAGACGAAGCAGGAGGAGAAGGAGGAGACGGAGGAGGTGTGAGGAGGAGCAGGAGCAGGAGGAGACGCAGGAGGAGCCGAAGGAGGAGGAGGAGGAGGAGGAGGAAGAGGAGGAGGAGGAGGAGGAGGACAAGGACGAGGAGGAGGAGGAGAAGGTGGAAAAGGAGGAGTAAGAGGAGGTGGAGGAGGAGGAGGAGGAAGAGGAGGAGGAGGAGGTGGAGGAGGAGGTGGAAAATGAGGAGGAGGAGGAGGAAGAGAATGAGGAGGAGGAGGATGAGGAGGAGGAAGAGCAGGTGGAAAAGGAAGAGAAGGAGGAAGAGAAGGAGACGGAGGAGGAGGAGGAGGAGAAGGAGGAGGAGCAGCAGCAGCCCCGGCAGCAGGACGAGGGCGACTGCCGGTGCACTGGCACCGGCAGCGGGCCCTGGGCTCGGGCAGCCTCGTCCCGCCAGCCTGAAGTCGGGCCTGTCCCTGCAAAGGAGGAACATTCCAAAATAGTCAAAACAATTAGTCGGGGGGCGACGATCTGTCGCTTATTTCTTCATCAGGCCATAATCAAGCAATAGCCCAATCAAAGCATCAACAACATAGTAAGAGAACAGTCGGGACGCGATTTGTCGCTCGTTTGTTTGATGATTGTTTGACATTTGTTGGCTATGTTGTTTCGTCCACGATCCGCCTTTAGGAGGGCTCGGAGGTGGACAGACCTCCTACCCTGACACGTCGATTGAGGAATCGGCCTTTTTCGGTTCGCGGGAGGGCGCCGCGGCCGTCATCCTTGCGGGTCCAGGTCCGTCGGTTTCGGTCCCAGGCCGTTCTCACTGAGGGGAGGTCTGCGAAAGGGAGGCTTGTCCATCGCCGAAATCCCGTTTCATCCGGCTTCATCCTGCTCAGTCCGAGGCCCGCTCCGGCGTAACGGCTCCGAAATGGGGCGTCATCCTCCTCAATCCGAGCATTTTCTTTGGGTGCAGGGCGAAGGGTGAAATCTGAAATGCCGTGTCGCTTGATGTTCGAGGCTTGAGCCTGCAAAAGGGGCATCGCAAGACGGATGGATTCTTGACCCCACATGGATGTCACCCTGAGGCCTTCTCACTAAGGGGAGGTCCCAGGCCGTTCTCACTAAGGGGAGGTCTACGAAAGGGAGGCTTGTCCACCGCCGAAGGACACGCCCGACCTCGTCCCCGCCCCGCCGGCCTCCGCCCGAGGTGGTGGCCAGGGTCTGCGGCAAGATGCACGCGGGCAGCCCCAGGCCACGGGCGGCACCGGCCAGGGAGGGGGGGGGGGGCGAAGGGGGGGGGAGGGAGGGAGGGAGGGGGGGAGGCAGGGGAACGAAGAATGACATAAACACCTCCTCCTTCCTGCACCTCCTCCTCCTCCTCTCCTCCTCCTCTCCTCTTCTCTCCTCCGCCTCCTCCTCCTCCTGCTCCTCTCTCTTCCTCCTCCTCCTCCTCCTCCTCCTCCTCCTCCTGCTCCTCCTCCTCCTCCCCCACAAACTCGGCGGTACGCGCGGATTTCTCGGATGCGCGTGGACCTCCGAGTGTTTATGTTTATGCCAGTCTTCGTTCACCTTAGGGGAGGGACAGGCTGGGCGCGCTCGCGCCATGTCTGCCGTCCTACGCTCCGCTCCGATCTCCCGGCCGCCCATCCCTCCGCAGATTGCGCTGGCATGTGTTCTCTACCCACTGGACCCCCCCCCGGAAGAAGGCCCTACAGTCGGGGCCCTGAAGAAGGAAGCCTGTTGGTTGGGGAGGGGCTCCGCGTTCCTTAAGTGTTTCACAGCTTGCCTCAGGTTTTCCTTATGTCTTCGATAGGAAATCGGAGTTTAACTTATGGGAAAAGGGCCTCGTTCCTTATTTAGGGTTCCTTAGGTCAGCGCCCCGACTGTACCGTGCTATGCGCAATCGGAAGAAGGGGAGCTGCGTACATAGGAAGAGGAGGTGGCGGGGGAGCAAGAAGATGAGCAGGAGAAGAAAGGATAACGTGGAAGGACGAGGACGAGGGCGAACCGCAGCAGCAGGACCTGGAGCGGAAGGAGCAGGAGGACCCGGGGAATGCGGAGGAGGGTAAATGATGGGGGGCTTCAGCGATGAAAAAGGATTCGGATCCAGAAAAGTGGCCCGAGCTGGGCCGAGAGCGCCGCTCTGAACGACGGGAGCAAAGCGCCGATCCGAAAAGGAAGCGAACGCTGCCGCGGGAGCACCATCGTGAAACACCGAGAACAGTCGCATTGTGAACTACCAAAGGAAAACCACCTTGCCCAAGTCTGCGCGTGAAAAACAATGCATACGCGGAGAGAACCGGCACATCTTCTTGACGGGGCCAGGGGAGAGATCGGGGGCAACGATAGGGTGGGATAGGCACAGGGGGGGGGGCGCATCGACCCCCAATCGCCCGTTAATCGCCGATAGGGGCTGTACAGCCCCAACCTGCCCAGGAAGGCGCGGATTCACCGTCGGAGGCCTATCGCCGATCTATCGGCGATGCATCGCCGACCCCAGGTCGATGCATCGCCCCCTAATTATGCCAGTCCCCCCGATCGTTGCCCCTCAGGAGAGGAGAGTAGCACTCCTGTTGTGGAACCGTCGGGGCCAGGCGGCCCATGCGGACCTGCTCCGAAGACGGATACAGTCGGGTCAGGGGCCTCGCTCCTTATTTAGGGTTCCTTAGGTCAACGCCCCGACTGTATGCCATCGTGGCCGAACGGCCTCCAGCCGCCCCTGGCCGGACCAGAGAGAGGTTCAGGGTCTGGACGCGTGGCGCGTCCGCACGCGCGCCACGCAGCGCGCGCACCGCGCGCGGCGCGGTCGGGCACGTCCCTCCACAGGAGGAATACATGACAGCATAGTCAAGAAATAGTCCTGGCATCGCTCGGACGTGTGCATTTTTTCCTCGGCGAGAACCATCGAGGAGCATCCTTGATCACTTGGCGAAAAAGCCACGCACGAAACAGAAAAAAACACACAGGGAATGGACGTCCGAGCGATGGCGAGTAGTCTGGGGACCATTTTGGAATATTTTTAGAGCACGTCTTCATGTCGTCCAAGATCCCTGAAGAAGGAACCCTTTTTGTCGGGGCGCTGAAGAAGGAAGCCTGTTGGTTGGGGAGGGGCTCGGTGTTCCTTGATTGTTTCACAGCTTGCCTCAGGGTTTCCTTATGTTTTCGATGGGAAATCGAAGCTTAACTTATGGAAAAAAGGGGCCTCGTTCCTTATTTAGGGTTCCTTAGGTCAACGCCCTGGCTGTATATGAAAGCATAGTCAAGAACTAGTCTGGGGACCATTTCGGAATATCTTTAGAGCACGTCTTCCTTTCGTCCAGGATCCGCCTGTAGCGGGGCATGCCCGACCTCACGCAGGTGTGCCGCCACCCACCGCCGTGCACGCATGGCCACCCGAGGCCCTTGCGGGGTGGCGCGGCCGCTGCCCGCCTGCCCGCGATCGACGCACCGGTGAGGTGCCGGCACATCTGCACGGAAGTTGCCCGGGCAATAATTGTCACGGGTGACTCGGCCCGAAGTTGATTTCTACGTCCGGCTGCTACGGGGCGGAAATTCGGCCAGTTATTCCTGATCAACATGTGTTTCAAACGTCATCGTGTGCGCTCCCATCTTCTCCCTCAAAAAAAAAATCCTGGCGAAGGACCCAACCATATGCAATTGTGAATACTGCAATTGTGAATATCTTCTCGGTGGAGCCCCCTACGGGGCCACGAAACGTACGAGGGGTGTGCCGACATGGGTATGCGGGACGCATGCGGGCACACCCACTGGGGCCTTCGGTGGAGCTCTCTATGGGGCCAAGAAACGTGTGAGGGGTGTGCCGAAATGGGTGTGCGGGACGCATGCGGGCACACCCACTGGGACCTTCGGCGGAGCTCCCTATGGGGCCACGGAACGCGTGAGGGGCGTGCCGAAATGGGTGTGGCTGACGCATGCGGGCGCGGGCACTGGGGCCTTCGGTGGAGCTCCCTATGGGGCCACGAAACGTGTGAGGGGTGTGCCGAAATGGGTGTGGGTGACGCATGCGGGCGCGGGCACTGGGGCCTTCGGTGGAGCTCCCTATGGGGCCACGAAACGTGTGAGGGGCGTGCCGACGCAAACGAGCTGGAGTGTGTGGGGTGTGCCGAAATGGGTGTGGGTGACGCATGCGGGCGCGGGCACTGGGGCCTTCGTGGAGCTCCCTATGGAGCCACGAAACGGGAGGGTGTGCCGAAATGGGTGTGGGTGACGCATGTGGGAGGGCACTGGGGCACGGGGGGCTCCCTATGGAGCCCGAACGTGTGCGGGGTGTGCCGAAATGGGTGTGGCTGACGCATGCGGGCGCGGGCCTGGGGCCTTCGGTGGAGCTCCCTATGGAGCCACGAAACGTGTAGGGTGTGCCGAAATGGGTGTGGGTGACGCATGCGGGCGCGGGCACTGGGGCCTTCGGTGGAGCTCCCTATGGAGCCACGAAACGTGTGAGGGGTGTGCCGAAATGGGTGTGGGTGACGCATGCGGGCGCGGGCACTGGGGCCTTCGGTGGAGCTCCCTATGGAGCCACGAAACGTGTGAGGGGTGTGCCGAAATGGGTGTGGGTGACGCTTGCGGGCGCGGGCACTGGGGCCTTCGGTGGAGCTCCCTATGGAGCCACGAAACGTGTGAGGGGTGTGCCGAAATGGGTGTGGGTGACGCATGCGGGCGCGGGCACTGGGGCCTTCGGCGGAGCTCCCTATGGAGCCACGAAACGTGTGAGGGGTGTGCCGAAATGGGTGTGGGTGACGCATGCGGGCGCGGGCACTGGGGCCTTCGGTGGAGCTCCCTATGGAGCCACGAAACGTGTGAGGGGTGTGCCGAAATGGGTGTGGGTGACGCATGCGGGCGCGGGCACTGGGGCCTTCGGTGGAGCTCCCTATGGAGCCACGAAACGTGTGAGGGGTGTGCCGAAATGGGTGTGGGTGACGCATGCGGGCGCGGGCACTGGGGCCTTCGGTGGAGCTCCCTATGGAGCCACGAAACGTGTGAGGGGTGTGCCGAAATGGGTGTGGGTGACGCATGCGGGCGCGGGCTCTCTGGGGCCTTCGGTGGAGCTCCCTATGGAGCCACGAAACGTGTGAGGGGTGTGCCGAAATTGGGTGTGGGTGACGCATGCGGCGCGGGCACTGGGGCCTTCGGTGGAGCTCCTATGGGGCTACGAACGCTGTACTGGGTGGGTGAAACGCAGGGAAGAGGGGGGGTGATGATGATGATGATGATGATGATGATGATGATGATGATGATGATGATGATGATGATGATGATGATGATGATGATGATGATGATGATGATGATGATGATGATGATGATGATGATGATGTGGAGATGAGGGGGCAGCGGGAGGAGGAGGAGGAGGAGGGAAGCGGGGCACCGTCTCTTCAGAGGAGGATGATGACAGCGGGGCACCGTCTCTTCAAAACGAGGACCCAACACCACAGGATGGTTGGGAAAAACATGTGGAAGAGGGGTCGAGGTCACCATGATTCGAAACGGAGGGGAAGGCAGGAGAGGGAGGTGGGAGGACGACCTCGAGGCAGAGGGGGAAGGGGAGGAGGACCTGGAGCAGAAGGACGAGGAGGACCGAGGTGAAGGCGGACGGAGAGGGGGGAGCTGCATCTTCATGACGGACTCGGCATGCATTTGCAGAACTACACCGTTCTACCACTTAAAGCGCCCGTTCTACAAGTTGCCTTAGAATCTTCCTACCACTTCCAGTCGTTCCACGCCGCTCCTACGGGTAATCGTTGTAGCACTTAGCAGGGTGACCGTCCTACCTCTTAGCGAGGTGATTGTTCTACCAGTTAGCTGGGTATCCGCTGTACCATTTAGCCGATTGATCGTTGTACTATCTTCTGCCAGCATCGGCTTGGGCCCCTAATATTGCGGCCTAGATGTGTTTCAGATGTTGTGTCCGAGCGCTCTGTCTTGTTGGTTCTCGGGGCGGTCGGTTTGCAAGGGAAAAGTTTGTTTTCGTCTCGCAACAAAGAATTTTCTAATTCAAACCCTGGCTGGGTCCCTAAAACCGATTGATAGTTGTTGCTTCGCACGTCGTGTCTGCGCGGTCCCTTGTTGGCGCCCGAGGCGGTCGGACTGCCAATCGAAATGTCGAAGCTCGTATTGAAGCGGCCGGTGTCGCAATTGAAGCTCACAGGGCACGAGGGGAACAACCGAGGACCCGCAGACCTCGGATGCCGGCTCGCAGGGGTGCGGAGGGCCGACCTGCCCGACGAGATCGCCGC